GTGGGTTCGGGGTGGCGAGGCGGTGCGGAGGGGGGTTTTGGGGGGTCGGGGAGGGAGAGTGGGGATGAAAAACCTTCCCACCTCCCGTCACCCCCAACCATCTTGTGATTAGACGCCTCCCCCACCCCCATTCCCGACCGACCGACCCGACCCACCCAGCCCGAAACTTCCAACCCCGTCCCACCGTCTTTCAGGCAAAGATGAGGCCCAGGAGGAGGCCATTCAGCCCCTCGAGCCCGTTGGGCCCTTCTGCAAAGATCGTGGCCGACCCACATTATAGCTGTTGTATCCCGCGCGCTCTGCAGGACATATAGAGGGTCCAACCTGTGAAGAACGTTTAAACGTTCTCCTGGTCTTTGCCTCCTTCCCTCGGGAGGAAGCCCAGGCTCGAGCGTGGGGGGGGGTTTTGCCCCACTGCAACTACGCAATATAAAGCTTCAGCCGGGAATAATATCCTTATAGGACCACGGCACGGAAGGAGGCCATTCGGCCCATCGTGCCTTCGGAAGAGCTACCAACTAGTCCCACTATTTCCCCCCACTCCGCTCTTACCCCCAACTGTCTCTGTCCGATTAGTTGGAACTAGAATTGTTTTCCCCCCACAACTCTAACCCAAGAAGCACGAGGCCAATTCCTGGCCCGACCTTACCTTCTTAAGTGACTTACCCGACTTGCGGATGGATTTCGACGAAGATTAATAAGCACTGCGAATAGACTCCATTTTTCTCCCCTCGTGGTTGGAGGCGTCAGTGGCGACGACATGTTCCATTCGCCAATAATAAAGTCCTTCTCTGTTGACGGTGAAAGATGGCGTCTCTCTCTCTCTCTCCAATTCCTTCCCGCAAACTTACACCGCCAACCTTGCACTACCCACCCCCGCACAAAATACAGTTGACGAGCCCGCCCAGCGAGACACGCTATGGACAACACGTGAAGTTTACACACACAGCGCCTTTCACGTGGGGAGGACGTCCCGAGGCGCTGGAGGCACAGTCAGGGGTTTGGACCCGATCTGGGGGTTGGGGTCAGGAGTGGGGTGGAGGACGGGGTTAGCGGTAGGAGGGTGTCCGAAGGCGCGGAGGAGGGTTTTGAGACGTGGCCTTGAAGGAGGCAAAGGAGGCGGAAGGACTGTGGGATGGAATTCCAAAGGGTGGGGTGGGGGGGGGCAGAGAGGCTGAAGGCCCCACTGTTAATATGGGGATAGCAGGAGACTTAAAGACCTCAAGTTCCTCCTGGTCTTAGCCTCCAGTCTGAGGCGTTAATCCTGTGCAGGTGAGGAGCGTTATTCAATTGAGCTTTAATCTGGAAGCCAAAAGGTTACGTCCTTGATGTACAAGAGCACCTTATCGCGTCTCGAAGCACTTCACAGAGTATACTGTAAAGTGTAGTGACTGTGTACTTTTGGTGGGGGGGGAAAACGCGGCAGCCAATTGCTCGCAGGAGTGTTCCCCCAAAAAGAGTTGTGGACCGAGTGACCAAGTTTTTATTCTTTATTATTTTCGGAGGGATGAAGCGATCCGCCAACCGGGTTTCGACTGACTGCTGGGCCTACAGAGGCGCGTGTCTGTGTGTGTGTGCGTGTGCGTGCTTCACAGGATACACTGCAAAGTGTAGTGACTGTGTATTAAGCTGAGCCGATGCACTGGAATCTGGTCGTAGCGATTTGTCCCACGTGCCGAACAGAAATAAATGAGCCACTGCATTTAACTCAGCTTCTGTTTAAGGGAGACATGATAGAATATATATATATATATATATATTTTATATATTGTATTACATGATTAATAGTAACGATCCTTGCACTTGAAACAGCGCCTGTTCACGTCGTTGAGACACTTTCGAAGCGCTTCACAGAAGTGGAGTGACTGTGCAATTTTGTGGGCGAAGACCGGGCAGCCAATTGCGCACAGGAGTGTCCCAGTCATGGATTGAGTGGTCACAGAAAACGACTAACAATTATCACAAGGATTACTTACGAAGCCCTCAAAACACCTGAAAGTCCCACTTGGCTATTGTTTATTCCCCCCCCTGTCCGCCCGCCCGCCCTCCCTCCCTCCTAAAGTCAAGACTTCTTTCAAGAGAGGTCAGGAGAGAAAGAGAAATCTCTGTCTCTCTCTCTCTCTCTCTCCCGTTCTCTCTCTCCAATTCATCACCTGTTTTATTAACCTAGTTTTCAGGTCAGATTTGGGTTTTAAAATACTTCCACCACTCGTTCAACTGCCTTCCTCCCTCCCACAACGATGACGTGTATCCACACAGCACCCCCCCCCCCCCCCCCACCCCGGCTTGACAGTCACGGAGCCTGACACTGAACTGGAGGGTGGGGGGGGGGGGAAGAAGAGGTGACGGTAGGCACTGGTCGAAGAGGAAGGTCTTCACGTCCGACCCGAAGGTGAGGAAGGAAAGGGAGGAAGGAAGGAAAGGGGCGGGCAAGGCGGAGGGAGGCGTGAGGGACAGAGGAAGAGAGCGACACGGGGCTGCGGTGGCTGAAAAGGGCGGCCGCCGATGGTGGAACGGAGGGACAAGCAGGAGGCTGGAGCCAGTCGAGCGGAGGTAGCGGGTACAGGGTTGGGGTGGCGCGGAGTGAGCTGGTCGGGAGAGAAAGTGCCAGGGAAGGCGCCAGGGAGCGAAGGGATTCGAAGACGAGGGAGAGGATCTTCAGATCCACCAGTTAAGTTCGCTGACGGGGAGCCAGTGGACAAACAAGACTTGAAGCTGCTGCTCTCTGATAATAATAACAATTAATAACGATAAAGTTGCTTGCATTTGACGTTCGATATCTTCAGAAAACAAATACAAAGGTGTCCGCCGTGGTCCTGGCCGGTGGCCGAGATGCCCGCCGGGATGGCCCGAGGGCTAGGACTCCAGCCGACAGATCGGGCTGTCGAACACCATCTGCAGGTTGACTCTGTGCCCCACCAGCTCTCGGATGTTGTTGATTCCGTACTTGATCATGGTGGGTCTGAAACACCAAGGAAACAAGTGGCTGGATGCCTATTATAATAATAATAACCCTGGCGTTATTATTATAACCCTGAAGGACGTTTGCAGCGACAAATCGGTCCTGGCCTGCGCCTGGCCTGTCACTGCTCGCGAGACAGAGACGCCAGCGTCTGCGAGAGATCCCGGAATAGAATCGGAGTCAAGGTGACTCGGGGAATTGTGGACACACACAGAGAGAGAGAGAGTCAGTAATAATAATGACGATGATCATCATTAATAATAATAATCCTTGCCTTTGACACAGGCCTCAAAGCGCTTCACAGGGTAACCACCGCTGTGCGCGACTGGCTGCCGCGTTTCACCCCCAGCGAATTACACGGTCACCACACTCTGCGGTATCCTTCCGCGAAGCGCTTTCGAGACGTCACGAAGGCGTCATGAGGCGCTGTATCAAATGCAAGGGTTATTATTATTATTATTATTATTATTATTATTAACACTCTGTAAAGTGTGGTGACTGGGTGTTTTGCGGGCGAAACGCGGCAGCCAATTGCGCCCGGCGACGTCCCCACAAACAGCCGGGGATTGTGCGACCCCAATTTTTATTGCCCCCAGAAAGGCGATCCACCAATCGACTAACAAGCGGGTTCCTACTTACTGCTGGGTCAGCAGAGGCACGCGTGTTTTGTGTGTGTGCGTGTGCGCGGAGTAAGGAAACTTGCCAAACGTAAGAGCAACGACTGGGGGGGGGGGGAAAAGGGGAGAGGGTGAGGAGGAAGGCAGCAGCGTGGGTCGTTTCCCCCACAAGCACCCCCACCACCCCACACAGCCTTGCCGTTCCCCTCTCTACAAAGACTCCAGACCGTTACGTCAAACCCCCTTCTATGGATTCACTGCCGATTATAAATAGCCTCGACACAGCGGCTCAATCGCCTTAGCCTGTAACTTTAGAAGTAAGAGTCACTTCCAGCGGGCCTTACAATCAATTTACTTCCACCCCATCAACAGGGGAATTCTTGTGGACAATCAATCCATAGAGGTTTGTCCTTTGATCGACACGAAGCTCCTGAGGTTCCCGAAGCTCCTTCAAAAGGCCCCAGAAAAGCCCGAGCTCGCACCGATTTTAGGTGCTGCCGGAAGGTACATTTTATTCCATTTATTTTTCTTCTCTCTCTCCTAAAACTTGCCCGTGTTTTAGGGACGTAATAAATGTGCTTTGCATTTGATGTAGCGGCTTATCACGTCTTTGTGTGTGTGTGTGTGTGTGTGTGTGTGTGTGTGGTGTCTGTCTGTCTGTCTGTGCGTGTGTGAGGCGTCTGTCTGTGCGTGCGTCTGTGTCTCTGTGTCTATCTCTCTCTGAGTGGAGGGAGCGGATGGGTTGGTAGGATAGGAGGTCATAGAGGTAGGGAGGGAGGGGCGAGGCCGTGTTGGGGTGGGGGGGGGAAGGCTTACCTCTCCAGGGAGAGACCCCAGGCTATCACGGTGACCCCCTCTGGCAGCCCCATTGGAAGCAGCATCTCGGGCCTGAAGACTCCCGAATTCCCAACTTCAACCCACTTCTTCAGCCCTGGAGAAACCGAGGAGATTTAGAAAAGTCTTATTATTATCCTCACGTTCGATTAGAGAGGTTTTCCTGTTATTAAAATGACAAAAACAACACCTTACATATATATATATATATATATATTAGTGAGGTGAGGTAGGGTCCCAGAGCGCTTAAATTCCAAAGCGCTTCACAGGACTTAATAATAATCTTTGCATTTGACACAGCGCCTTATCACGTCTTTTGAGACATCTCACCTGATAGACCGTAAAGTGAATTGTCTGTATATTTTGTGGGCGAAACGCGGCAGCCAATTAACTGAGCACAGCGGCATCCCCACACACACACACACATACACACACAGTCGTGGATTGAGCGACCGATTTATTATTATTATTATTTTTTTGGAAGGGATCATTAGCCCCGGGTAAGCGATCCGGGTTTCTACTACCGCTGGGTAAACAGGTGTGTGTGTGTGTGTGTGTGTGGAGTAAGGAAATTTGCCCCCAAATTTCGCCCTGACCTGCCTGGGGAGCGAACCCAGTTCCTCTCGCTTGCGAGTGCTCTAACCACTGAGCCACCTCCATGAATTCCAAGTGACTGTGTATTTTGTAAGCGAATGAGGCAGCCAATTTAATAACAACAACAACAATCCTTGCACTTGATTGTAGCGCCTTATCACGTCAAAGAGGAAGGTCTTGAGACGGGACTTGAGCGAGGGAGGAGGCGAGGCAAAGTGACTGTGAGATGGAGGCAGAGAGGCTGAAGGCAACACTGCTAATGGTGAGTGGCGGAGAGATGAACCAGGTAAACAGAGACGTGTGTTTGGAGCGAGGAAACTTGCCTAAGGTTTCGCTCTCCCTGGGAATCGAACCCGGGTCCTCTCGCTTGCGAGGCGAGGGGCTTAACTGCTGAGCTACGGATTTGCAAGCCATATGGCATTGGCGGGAAGCAATTATCAGAGCCCTGAGTGTTCAATTACTGTTTCCCCGAGCTGACAGATCAGCTATCCCCTGGACTTAAATAGTACAAGAGGCTGGCGTTTAAAATGGACGAGAATACGAAGACCTTATTTGACCCCTTTGGGATTTCTTTCTCTACGAGAGGGAGACTGTGAAAGATTTTTTTCGTTTTATTTTAAGGAATAAAATGGATTGTAACAGGAGAGTCGGTGCAAATCACAACGGAAGCAGAGGTTTAAAAAAAAAACAATAACCCAAAGGTTATAAGGACATAAGAAATGCCGGACGCGAAAAAAGAAGACCAAAGTCCATTGATCGCTGCCACCTTCCTGGCCCTCGGACCCTTGCGCAGACGTCCTGAGCTACTTACGTACTTTATCTCATGGTGTTTTTTTTCCTAAAAGAAAACTATCTCATCTGCGTTTTGAAGGGATCGACGCTTGCTGCTGCAGCCGTCTCCCTCGGGAAGCCCGTTCCACAGGTTCCCTGTTCGCTCGCTGATTGATGACACTTCATTACGGTTAAAAATTACTGAGATATTTCAACCGACCGGGAGATTATTCGAAATGACGGCAGGGTTGCGGTAAGTTAAGTAGAGGTAACTTATTTCCAGCGACGTGAAAGGCGCTGTACCAATGTCATTTGGCGTTGACTGGAGGACGTAAATTTACAATCGCGCATCAAAAGAACACACACAAAAGGAGAGGTTAGTTTTTTTAAAATAAGACACACTACACTCCTACTCGTGGACACACTTAATTGCGCACAGGACACAAGGGCAATAATAATAATCCTTGCATTTGACACAGCGCCTTATCGCGTCGTCAAGACGTCTCAAAGCGCTTCACAGGGTACAAGTATAGTGACTGTGTGTTTTGTAGGCGAAACACGGCAGCCAGTTGCGCACAGCAGAGTCCACACAAACAGTCTTGGATTAAGTGACCAGATTAATATTTTTTTTAAGGGGTTATTACTCCTGGAAAAGCGATCTATCAATCGACTAACAACCGGGTTCCTATTTACTGCTCGGTAAACAGAGACGTACGTGTGTGTGTGTGTGGCGTAAGGAACATTGCCTAAGGTTTCGCCCTGACCTGACCTGCCCGGGAATCGAACCCGGGTCCTCTGGCTGGCGAGAGCTACAGGGACTCCATTCAACTACTGAGATCTAGCACTCTCCGCTCAGCCCCACCTCACTTACCTTCGTGATAGCTGAATATCTCCATACTGGGCTCCGTGTAGGGGTTGTAAGCCGGTTTGTAGCGCAGTTTCTTTATACCTTTTGACGACAACAACAACAAATGACAGTTACACAGAGCCTTTCACGTCAGGAGGACATCTCAAGGCCCTGGAGAGTCAGGGATCCACACTGGGGATTGGGATCAGGAGGGGGAGGAGGGAGTGGAGCGTAGGGGTAGCAGGGTGACCGAAGGCACGGTCGAAGAGGAGGGTCTTGAGTCATGTCTGCGCACACGCGCGCGTGCGGTGTCTGCGGCCGTGTGCAGTGTCTGTGCGCGCGCGAGGGTGCGTTGTCTGTGGAACCCGTCTCTCTCTGGCTTGCGAGGCGAGGGCTCTAACCCCTGAGGTACAGGGAGGGAGAGAGAGAAGTCTCTCCTTTGTCTGTCTAGCCACTCCCGTGCCCCGGGGTCTCACCGAGCTTGTTGAAGAACTGCTGGAGGACCCCCATCAGGTCACCCAGGGTCAGGTCGTAGTCGGCCACCACGCCCTCGATCTGATGAAACTCCGCCAAGTGGGTGGCGTCCAGGGTTTCGTTGCGGAAGACACGGTCGATGGAGAAGTACTTGACCGGGGTGAAGGCCTCCTGCGGACAATGACACAGGGAGTGGAGGGGAAATGGTGTGAGGGTTGTGCACCTGACCCAAGAATGGAATGCGCTCTCTCTCTCTCTCTCTCTGGAGGGAGGGACACCTCCTACGTACCCACAACAACAGCGCCCTTCACGTGGGGTAGCGTTCCCGGGGCGCTTGACAGTGGCGGAGTCTAACCCCGAACCAGGGGAAGAGAGGAGGAGGGGAGGTGATCGTAAGAATGGTCAAAGAGGAAGGTTTTTAGGTGGGGAGAGGAGGGAGAAGAGGGGAGGGGAGGGAGGGAGGAAGAGAGAGGAGGGAGTTGGCGGTAAAAAATTGCCCAAAAGTTACGCTGGAGTTGCTTAAGAGAGGGGGAATACTCACCTGCTGAGCGAGCTTGTACAACATGCGGGCACTGACTGCTGTCGTGTGGGTCCGCAGAAGGTTCTTCTTGGCCTCTTCAATCTTCCAATCGTACTTGTACCTGAACAGACACGTTCCATTTTACACTCTAACCCCTCACACCCCCCGCGCACTCGCCCTCGCCCCCACACCCCTCCACTGGGGATCGGTCGGTAACGATAATCCTTGCCCTGTGACACAGCGCCCTTATCACGTCTTCGAGACGTCTCAAAGCGCTTGACGGCACACACCGTAAAGACTGCAAATTTTGTGGGCGAAACACGGCAGCCAATTGCGCCCGGCGACGTCCCCCACAAGCATTCAGTGACCGAGTTTTTTTTTTTTGAAGGGATTATTACCCCTGGAAAAGCCAATCAATTAACAAGTGGGTTCCTACTGACTGCTGAGGAGGGACAGAGGCGCGAGTGAGTGTGTGGAGTAAGGAAACTTGCCCGAGGTTTCGCCCCGGCTGGGAATCGAACCCACTTGCGAGGCGAGACCTCAAACCACTGAGAGTTTAATATACAAGGTCCTGATCTCCACCGACTTACCCCTGAGATCCATATCCTCCCTCTGAATGGACCTGCTTCACCCGTTCCAGATAATCCATTGGGAATTCTGTCGCCGTAGCTGGATCTAGGAGCCGGTGGGAAGATGACAAGAGTAAGGAGCGAGGCAGGTAGCCGCATAGATAATAATAATAATATTCCTTGCATTATTACTTCTTCGAGACGTCTCAAAGCGCTTCACAGGATACACTGTAAAGTGAATTGACAGTATATTTTGTGGGCGAAACGCAGCAGCCAATTGCACGCAGCAGCGTTCCCCACCCACAAACAGTCGTGGATTGAGTGACCAATTTATTATTAGTANTTTTTTAAGGGAATTGTTTCCCCCGGGAAAGCGATCCCCCAATCGACTAACAAGAAGCTTCCTACTGACTGCTGGGCCTGTGGGGTAAGGAAACTTAACCACTCCTCCTGCTCTTACCCCAAACTAGCCCCACTCCTCCCCGCTCTTACCCCAACTAGTCCCACTCCCCCCGCTCTTACCCCAACTATTCCCTACTCCCCCCGTTCTTACCCCATAGCCCTACACATTTTTCCTTGTCGAATCTGCTTCCACCACCCTTTCAGGCAGTGCGTTCCAGACCGTAAGAACTCTCTGGTTATTTGGTCGACTGTCTTGAATCCGTGTGGTCTGGTTACCGATCAAACAGAATGGCGGAACAGGCTTTCGAGGGGCTGAATGGCCTCCTCCTGTGATACCACGGCTGGGTTGTCCATGGCCCTGTGGGACTCCCATGTTCCTACCTGAGATGAAGAAGGTGTCATGTTGGTCACGGGCCGGGTGCTGTTGGGGCTGGAAGAGGGCGTCAAAGTTCCAGAACGAGCTTTCGATGAAGTTATTGGTGGGCATCTCGGTGAAGCTGAAGACAACGCAGAGCAGGAAAGTCAGGGATCTGACCTCAACCGCCCCCCAGCCCCAAACTGCCCAATGTTCACACAAACCCTGTGCCTCATTCAGTAGCTCTCTCTCTCGTCTCGGAGTCAGATGTTTGTGTGTTTAAGCACCGCGCCCCCCCACCCCACCCCCCCACCACCACCACGTCAGGACTTGGAATCACAGCCCTAGCACCTCCCACCTGTTCCCCCCCACCCCAACCCACCACCTGCTGCCTCCGCTCGACTGGCTCCGGCCTCCTGCTTGTCCCTCGTGCCCTCCGTTCCATGCTCGGCCACCCCGCTTTCAGCCACTGCGCCCCGAAACTCATCACTTGTTCTCTCAATCCCAACGCCTTTCCCCCTCCCTCCTTCCACAGGTTGCGCCTGAAGATCTCCACCCCCCACCTTCCCCTCCACCACCCTCAAGCACTCTGGGACACTACCTGTGTCCCTCAGCAGGCTGTTGGTCGTCAGCCTAGGCTATGTGAGCGTTCCCAGCAACTTGTGCTTTAATTACAGCTTCCCCCCCCACCCCCCCCCCCCCACCCCCACTTACCCCATTTCCAGGAATATCTGCCGGAACTGGCTTCGGACCTTCAGGAGGGGGTGCAGGTGCCCACATTCTGGAATGATCCCCAGGGCGTCAAAGTTGTACGGTTTGAATTTCCTCTCTCTCCAAGAGCCGCTGAGAAAGAGATATTTTACGCTCGTTTAGGCTTATGGTTTCAACGGTATTTTCCCCCATTAGCAGCACCGACCGAACACAATCAGAACGCTTCATAATATCATGATTTGCAGCAGATTAATCTCAAGTCAATCATTTTAACGCACACTCTGGGCTTTCCCCCACAAACCCTACCCACCTCCCCACACACCTCCCACCCCCCCATCCTTGGCTCTTGCCAATCTGCGCTGAATACTTTCCAGGATTAGGCAGACAGGATACATCGCTCCAGGGAGAGAGAGGGAGAGAGAGAGAGAGTAAGAGAGAGCGAGTAAGAGAGAGAAAGAAAGAGAGAAAAAGAAAGAAAATTCACTGGATAAAAAAGGCTGAGTAAAAACGTCTTGCATGTGAGTTTGAAGCCATCTTGATGGACCACCTTACTTTGCTATCATCTCTGGAGTGAGCTCCGTCTCCTGCTTGATCACTTTGGTGCTGAACGCGCTACCTTTTGTGATCCAGTATGTTTTCAGGGTCCTGCGGCAAGGAGAAGAACGAACGTTCATTCGATGGTCAGTTTAAAAAAAAAAGCGAGAACGTTTCGCTGGGCAGTGAAGTCCGTCATGGAGTTAATGGCCGTTAACGGCTGTGCAAATTGGCCGTCCAGTTCTCCGCACAAGTCACTGCACTCAACGGGCTTTCAGCCTCTCTGCCCCCACACTCTGGAACTCCATCCCACAGACCCTCCTCTTCGACCGCGCCTTTGGACACCCACCTACTCCCTTACCGGCCCCACCCTCCACCCCTCCTGATCCCAACCCCCAGCTAGGGTGCAGGTCCCCGACTGTCCAGCGCCTTGGGACGTCCTCCTGACGTGAAAGGCGGTGTAATCAATGTCAGGATATTATTATCATCATCATCATTATAAAAGGACCGACCTTGGAAGGTTGGTGCGACATCTACTAGTCAGTTCATGATATAACAATGACGATCAAAAACAAAGGGCTTACTACCATCTTCTGGGGAGAAAATAGTATTGCAGCCCGTTAATAATAATAATAATCCTTGCATTTGATACAGCGCCTTATCACATCTTCGAGACGTCTCAAAGCGCTTCACGGGATACACTGTAAAATGAATCGAGTGTACATATTGTGGGCGAAACGCGGCAGCCAATCGCGCTCTAAGAGTCGTGGATTGAGCAACCAAACTAGCATTATTTTTTTTTTAAATGGGATTATTACCCCCGGAAAAGCGATCCGCCAATCGCCTAACAGCTGGGTTCCTACTTACTGCTGGGTAAACAGAGACGTGTGCGGGTGTGGAGCCAGGAAACTTGCCCAAAACATTTCACCCTGACTCGCCCGGGAATCGAACCCGGTTCCTCTCGCTCGCCAGGCGCTTGGAGACGTCGCGAAGACGTGATAAGGAGCTCTCTCAGAGGCCAGGGTTATTAATTGTCGTGTATTATATTGAAACTCAGGCCACGGGAGTGGGGTTAAACTCCAGCTAAAAAGCCACGGAGGTGTCAAGTCAAGCAAGCGAGATATTTGAAGCACTTACACTTCGCTCAGCAGTTTCCTCTTCTTCAGCTCATTTTTCTCCTTGTTATCCAGGCTGCTGTCCTTGCCTTGCTGCACTAACAGCAGCTTGCCTTTGACCTCGTCCTTGATGCTGTCAATCTATCGGAGTAAGACATTCACGCCATCGTCATAAAAATAATAATAATCCTTGCATTTGACCCAGCGCCTCATCACGTCTTTGAGACATCTCAAAGCACTTCACAGGATACACTGTAAAGTGAATTTGCCCGTGTATTCTGCGTGCAAAACGCGGCAGCCAATCGCGCACAGCAGCGTTCCCACAAACAGCCGTGGACCGAGTGACCGAATTACTATTATTTTTTTTAATGGATTATTCCCCCGGAAAAGTGATCCGCCAATTGACTAACAAGGTTCCTACTTACTGTTGGGTAAACACAGGCACGTGTGTGGGTGAGAGGAGTAAGGAAACTTGTCCAACGTTTCGACCCCTGACACAAGACCTTCCTACACCCTCCTTCCCTGCCCTCTGCCCCCTCCTGATCCCAACCCCCAGCTCGGGTCCAAATCCTTGACTGTCCATATTCTCAGGCAAATTGCAGTGTTAAAGACTGATGTTAACCTTAGTAATAAATACAGACTGGCCTCGTTACAATAGTTTGAGTCCATAAATTCTGACCAAATGTTAGAATGGAGCGCGACGTTAGGTCGGCAGGTCACCATTGATACCACTTGAATGCATATTCTTTCTCGTACTGCACAGTGGAGGCCCTGTAGCTCAGTGGTTACAAGAGGACCCAAATTTGATTCCCGGGCAGGGCGAAACGTTGGGCAAGTTTCCTTACACCACACACCTCTGTTCATCTAGCAGTAAGTGGGAAACCGGTCGGTAAGTCAATTGGCGGATCGCTTTTCTGGGGGTAATAATCCCTTTAAAAAAATACTAATTTGGTCACTTAATCCACGATTGTGTGTGGGACATTGCTGCGCGCAATTGGCTGCCGCGCTTCGCCCACAAAATTCACTTTACAGTACAGTATATTCCGTGAAGCACTTTTTGAGAGAGGTCTCGAAGACGTGATAAGCTGTATCAAATGCAAGGATTATTATTATTATCATACTGTATTAACATACTTATTATTATATGACTGGAAAGGCAGGTTGTCATCACCAACTGAACAAGGCTTTCTGCTCATTAACTCCTGCCTGTGTGTGTGTGGTGTGTGTGTGTGGTGTCTGGTGTGTGTGTTATGTGAGCGAGTGAGTGAGTGAGTGGGTATGAAGATATGGATAGCAATAAAAGCAAGCTGTCTACTTACACCCTTATAGATGTAAGGACCTCCTTCAGCCTTCTTATCTATGTGGATCCACTTGTTTGACATCGCCTTGCTGAAGCCAACCTTCCCACTGGGGAGTTTCTGCAAAGAAGTTCAATGCAAATAAATGAAGAGAATCCTAGTCCGTTCAAAATAAGTTTTGCCCACAAAATTCACAGTCACTGCACTTTACAGTATATTCTGTGAAGCGCTTTGAGACGTCTGGAAAACATGATCAAACGCGAGGATTATTATTATCACTATTGTAAGACGTTTCCTGAAAGAGGCAAAATACAATTGGCTGCTGCGTTTCGCCCACAATATGTGCAATCAATTCACAAGTGGTTTTAAAACGGTAATTAATCATTTAATTGTTATTTTAACGTAAGAGCTGCGTCCAGTCTTCAAATGAATTTTATTTTTATCAAATTTTATTTTGGATTATTATTAGCATTATACTGTAGGTCAGCGGTTAGACAAGTCGCCTCACGAACGAGAGAACCCGGGTACGATTCCCGGGAGGGGTCGGGGCGAAACCTTAGGCAAGTTTCCTCATTTACGCCTCTATTTACCTCGCTCAATCCACGACTGTTTGTGGGACGTTGCTGTGCGCAATTGGCTGCTGCGCTTGTCACATAAAATACACATTCACTACACTTTACTGTGACGTGCTTTGAGACGCCTCAACAACGCATTACATCCGTATAGCGCCTTTCACTTCAGGAGGACGTCCCAAGGCGCTGGACAGTCAGGGACCCACACCTGAGCTGGTGATAAGGCGCTATATCAAATGCAATTATTATTATAATAATAATAATAATATAACCACCGCACATGCTCACCATGAGGTCACCCTGCGTAATTCCATTTGGCGGGATGGCGTTGTAAACTCTCGCCTCGTGGCTGCCCTTCTCTGCAATTTCTCGGCCTTCCTCGGTCAGCTCCCAATGCTTGCTGGCTCTCAGCTCAGCCTCGATCAGCTGCGCCACAGGGAAGAGGGGATTTACACGCACTGCATATTCGTGGAGTCCTGTAGCTCAGGGGTTAGACCCCTTCGCCTCACAATTCGATTCGATTCCCGGGATGGGGCGAAACCTTAGGCAGCTTTCCTCACTCGCCCCCACACACACACACACACACACACAGAGACACACACACACACCTCCGTTTACGCAGCAGTAAGTAGGAACCCGGTTGTTAGTTAGTTGGAAGCAGATTGTTTTCCGGGGGGTAATGTATCCTCAAAAAAAAAAATGATAATAATGCGGTCGCTCAATCCGCGACTGTTTGTGGGGGGACGTCGCCGGGCGCGATCGGCTGCCGCTTTTCGCCCGCGAAACGCACAGTCACTACACTTGACAGCGTATTCCGTGAAGCGCTTTGAGACGTCTGGAAGACGTGGAAAACGCTATATCGGACGCAAGGATTATTATTATTATCCCCCCCACCACCACCACACTCCTCACCCCTCACCTCCTCCTCCCTCCCTCACCACTCCCCCCCCCTCACCTCTCCCCCCCCCCCCCCCCCCCCCCCCCCCCCCCCCCCCCCCCCCCCCCCCCCCCCCCCCCCCCCCCCCCCCCTCACCTCTCCCCCCCTCCCTCACCTCTCCCCCCACCCTCCCTCACCCTCACCTGCCCCCCCCCTCACCCGCCCCCCCCTCCCTCACCTCTCCCAGCGCCTGGAGGCTCTTCACGACGCCGACCACGACCTGGTGCTGGAGGCCGAGGCTGACGGCGATCTGTGCGGAGTCCAGGCCGCCGGGCGCGCTCTCCAGCAGCGACAGCACCTGCTCCAGCAGCTCCGCCATCTTTCCCGCCCCAGCGGCCCCCGCGCGACCGGCACCCGTCACGTGAGACCGACCAACTGTCACCGCGCGCGCGCGCGCGTCACGTGACGCCGACCAACCGACCACCCTCTGCCCCCCCACCCCCACCCCCGTCACGTGACAGCGACTCGCCGCCACCCGCCCAAACAGTCACGTGACACCGACCCGCTGGCCTCCCCCCCGTCACGTGACACCGGCCCACTGTCCTCGTCACGTGACAATGGCCAACACCCTCCCCACCACCCCCTCAACCGCCAACTGTCACCCCCTCAACCGCCAACTTCTGTCACCCCCTCAACCGCCAACTGTCACCCCCTCAACCGCCACCTGTCACCCCCTCAACCGCCAACTGTCACCCCCTCAACCGCCAACTGTCACCCCCTCAACCGCCAACTGTCACCCCCTCAACCGCCAACTGTCACCCCTCAACCGCAACTGTCACCCCCTCAACCGCCAACTGTCACCCCCTCAACCGCCAACTTCTGTCATCCCCTCACTCGACCGCCAACTGTCACCCCCTCAACCGCCAACTGTCACCCCCTCAACCGCCAACTGTCACCCCCTCACTCGACCGCCAACTGTCACCCCCTCACTCGACCGCCAACTGTCACCCCCTCAACCGCCAACTGTCACCCCCTCAACCGCCAACTGTCATCCCCTCAACCGCCAACTGTCACCCATGCACTCAACTGCCAACTGACATCCGCTCAACCATCAACTGTCACCCGCATCTCCCTATCCGCCCAACCCACCACCCACGGCCTCAGCTCGACCAGCTCCAGCCTTCTGATTGTCCCTCAGCCCCTCCCTTCCGCTATCAATGGCCGCGCTTTCAGCCGCTACCCCCGAAACCCCCTGTGTCCTTCTGCCTCGCTCCCTCCTTCCCCTCTTTCACTTCCTCTTTGACCGTGCCTACGGTCACCTCCCCCCCACCTTTCTCCCAGTTCAGCTTCGATCTCCTCCACAGTTCATCGCTCCGAGAATCTGCCCCACGTGAAGGGCGCTATCCACAGTAAACTCCGTGTAACTCATCGCTCCCAAGGGAAAAGGGCTCGGAGAGCGGAGAGTTAGGTTTATGTACGACCGGGATATTGGCAACACAATGATGTAAGTGGTAGTGACAAGCTAAGCCAATGTCGAGTGATCAGGAGTTCTCTGAGCGTCGTGTGGCTTGTTCTATAATAATAATCCCTCCAAAAAAACCAAAAAACAATAATAAAAAAAAAATTGGTCATTTTCAATCTACGACTGTTTGTGGGACGTTGCTGGGCGCAATTGGCTGCCGCGTTCGCCCACAAATATACAGTCAATTCACTTTACAGTGTGTTCTGTGAAGCGCTTTGGGACGTCCTCCCGACGTGAAAAGCGCTATATCAAATGCAAGGATTATTATTATATTATTATTATTATTCTGAATCACCTGTAACTGTCTGGTACAAGGTTATTGAATGTGTTCTACTTACCTAATTCCAGAAAGTGGTAGGCACAGGTTGGCAAGAGCCATGGCTTGGCGGCGGTGGGTGTGGGGGACAACTGCTGGAGTCTAACCAGCTAAAACCGCGTAGCTTGCCATTGAGAGCGCTGTCTGGCAAGCTTTCCCGCTGCTTGTCCAGCTAGGACCACCCTGCCCCTAACAAGGGGGGGGCTTACAATCATCTTAAAATTAGAGCCAGGCCATTTACAGCAAAGCCTAATCCCTGTCTGCAAATGTCCCTCTTGCTGAAGGGTCGGACCGCTGGTTAGCAATCAGGAGGAGAAATCGTTTAATTAATTTCCTCCCAAACCCGGGGCAGTAAGGCTAATTGTCGCCTTCTCTCTCTCTCCCCCACACCTCAAACCAGATAACTCAGCACAGAGCAGATTACATTTCACTCCATAACCCATCACCTCCGCTCAACCATCCCCGGTCCCCCCACCCCATTCCGCCGTCAGCGGCCGCACTTTCGGCCGCTACTCCCCGAAATCTGGAACACTCTCCCTCAATCCCTCCGCCTTGCTCCCCTCCTTCCCCATCTTTGGATCGCGCCTGAAGGCCTTCCTCTTCGAAGGTCACCTCCCCCTTCCCTCAGCTCAGTGTCATGCTCTGGGACGCTACCCCTGTATGAGGGGCGCTGTGTTGCTGTTATTTCGGATTCTCTTAAGCACGGTGATGGGTTTTCTGCACGTGTCAGACACAAAAAATTGGGTCTGAAGGGTTGAATGTTGCACGACTAGGAGATGCTTTGTTGCATGTCTTCTGAAGTCATAGAATTATTCAGAAGGAGGCCATTCAGCCCATCGCGTCAGTGCTGGCTCTGTGCTATCCAAATCAATCCCACTCCCCCACACTCTCCCCATAGCCGTGCAAACTGGTCCTCCCCAAATAATTATCTACTTTACTCTTAAAAGCTGTTATCGAATTGGCCTGAAGACCTTACTCTTCATCTGGAATCAAAACCCAGTCCTGGGATCAATAAGGGGAGTTTTAAAACCAATTCCCACAAAACAGGTCAGGCAACATTCTTCCACCCAGCAAATGAGTTGCACAGCTGTAGAATGGATGCAAATGAGAAGGTAAAGTTTCGAAAGCGGGTCAAATAAAATGTGGTCAATTGACTGACCCCTTAAGCTCATCCATCAGCTCGCAATTATAGGCTCAGCGTTCTAAACCTTTCTTTCACAACCGTTTGTGGCACGTCGCTGTGCGCGATTGGCTGCCGCCTTTTGCCCGCAAAACACAGAGTCACTACACTTTACGGTGCCCTTTTTTTCCGAGAAGCGCTTTGAGACGTCTCGACGACGTGATAAGGCCCTACATCAAATTCAAGGGTTACTATTATTGTGATTATTTTTTTAAAAAAAGGTACATTTAGCATTTTATTGCCGGGGTAAAGAAATCATGGCAGGTCTGTGATTGATCTAAACCACAAAACCTCTCCATCTGCATCATTGGTACCTGTTCGGAACTCAATCCACCCTCTCCTCTATTTTCCATTGTATTTTATTTTGTTTTTTTCCGTTTTATTTTGCCTCGGTTTTCACTCTTTTTCCCTGCCTTTCCTCCTTCGTTTTTATGCCCTTCGCTTCCTTCATTTTTTGAAATTTCTTTTTTACTTCCTCATACTATACCTTCGCCCCACAAAATACACCGTCAAATTCACTGTACAGTATATTCTGTGAAGGGCTTTGAGACGTCTCGACGACATGATAAGTAAGTCGCTGTATCAAATGCAAGGATTATTATTAATTTCGATTCTGTCTTCCATATGATGTATGGTCTGTGCCTTATGGTGTTTATACGGTTAGAGGGTAATAATAATAGTCTTTGCATTTGATCTAGCACCTGTAATGCAGAACATTAGTACCATAGGACACGGCCTGCAACTGAATAAGTAAATTCAGAACATTTTCTGCTGGAAAATAATATCTGGGACTAATCCAGTGTATAGTTTGTGGACACCACACGTCAAGCGACTGGCAGGATGGTGGAAGGCAAACTCGATGGACCTTTGGTCTTCTTTCGCCAACAAATTCTTGTGTTCTTAACATCCCAAAGCATTTTTTTAGGTGATTGTAACAAAGTGTAGTGACCGTGTATTTGCAGGCGAGGTATTTAGGAAAATAGAGGGCGGGGATTTTAGACCAAAATCTGAATTGATGCTTAGTTACAGTGCAATACACAATTACATTTACACATTGTCAGAGGTACCATCCTTCGAATAAGACATTAAACCGAGCTCCTCGTCTGTGCCCTGTTCAGATGGCACCATACTCTCTTGCTCTCCTCGCCCCCTCAACCCCGACAATCCCCCTCTTCCCCCAAATAAAACTGATCGTTCAATTCATATTAATATAAGAATTGCTGGATGAAAGAAGACCAAGGTCCACCCAGTCGCTTGCACATGTCAAGTCTACTGTGTCTCACGATCTGATTTCCAAAGAGAAATCTATCTAATTTGCTCTCGAAAGAACCGACACATCCTGTTTCCACCGTCAACCAAATTCACGTGCAGTCCTGTAAACGTGGGGGTTAGACCCCCCCACACCCCCCTCGCCTCGCAATCGAGAGGACCCGGGTTCGATTCCCGGGCGGGTCAGGTCAGGGCGAAACCTGAGGCAAGTCTCCTTACTCCCCCCGCCCCACCCCACAGACACACGCCTGCGGAACACGTTAGGTCGATTGGCGGATTGCTCTTCTGGGGGTAACAATCCCTTCAAAAAGTAATAATAATTTGGTCGCTCAACCCAATCCATGACCGTGTGTGTGTGAGAGAGAGAGACAGTGCCCACAAAATACACAGTCACTACACTGAGACGCCGCGCCCACGTGATAAGGCGCTGCAAGGATTATTGCAAGGATTATTACTATTATTATTGTTATTAAAATTACTTGGCTATGCCTTCATACCAGTCATTTCTAGCTTTGCAAGCCAAAAAATGCCCAGCTGTTGACAACTGGAGTGACAGGCGAGCTGACCAATCGGGAGCGAGACGCGCGGCGCGGCGGGGGGGGGCGGCACCCACGGCCCTCCTCCACGTGACCTCCATGTGGTCGTCGCCGATTGGCCGCTGCCCCAGTCGCCATGGCGTCCGGCGCCGCCAATCAGCGTCGGCCATCTGGGCACGGGCGCAACCGAGCTTGCTGGGGCGTGGGCGTGGCGCGGGCGCTGGACGGGCGGGCGCGGGCAGCCAATGGGAGCGCGCGCTGTCAGCCGCAGTGGCGGCACGGGCCAATCGGAGCGGGGGAAGGGGCGGGACTTGGGCAGTCAAGTTCGGTCAGCGCGCGGCACATAAAGGCGCGGTCGGGCGGACGCTTTGGTCTTTGGGGGCTTTGACGGTCGGAGGGCGGAGAGGTCGTGCGGGCGTCGCTCTGGGCTTCAGTCGGTCACCGAAGGTGCGTGAGGTGTTTTTTTTTTTTTGAGTGGCGGTGGGGAGGGCGGGTGTTGTGTGTTTTTTTCGCGCATATATAAAAAAAATCTCTGTCGTTGTTTTTTTTTTAATTTTGAAGAGAGAAATCCCCCCCCTCCAATCGACGAGATGAAGACCGGGTGGTGGTTGTTGTTGTTGTTGTTGCCGCTGTCGGGCCTGTTGGGGGCCCTCGCCGCCGCGTCGCCCGCGGTTCACTTCAGGGAGGAGTTCTCTGATGGAGGTGAGTTTGGAGGGAGAGAGTGAGGGAGGGATGGAGGGAAAGAGGGAAGGAGGGGGAGGGGGGGAAAGAGGGGGCAAAAGGGGGGCAAAAGGGGAATGAGATTTGCTTCAAAGTGCCTCATGTTCCTTATAACAATCATAATTAATAATTAATAATAGTGGTGATGATAACGATGACAATCTGGTGTTTGACACAGCGCCTCTTCCTCCTCCTCCTCTTCGTCGTCGTCGAGACGTCTCGAAAGCGCTTCGCGAGACAACGCGGCGAAGTGAGTTATGAGGAGAGAGAGAGGAAGAGGAGGAGGAGGAGGGAGGAAGGAAAGAAAGAAAGAGAGGAAGGGAAGGAGGGAGGAGGGAAAATTCCCTTTTTTTCCAAAAAAAAAGAGAGAGGAGAAAAAGGGGCTTTGTTCCCCAACGCGGTATGTGGACCACCTCTCCCCCCCCCCCCACCACCCTCCCCGCTCTTGAGTTTGACACGGCGTCTCGAGACGTCTCGGGAGAGCCTCGCGGGCTGCACCGTCAAGTGCGGTGTCCGTGCGTCTCGTGGGTGAAATGTTATGTGTTCTCCCCCCTCCTCTCTCCCCCGCCCACCCACACCCCACCTCTCCTCGAAAGTTATTCTTCTCAAAGGAAAAGTTGTCCTTTTTATATGTATATATCATATATCTATATTTTATTATATGCAAAGGTGCCTTTTCAAGTGGTTGAGGTTGTTTTCTGGGGGGGGGAGGGGGGAGGGGAAGAAATGGAAAATGTGGTTCAATTGACACTTAAAAGCTCTCTTCACTCTCGAAAATGTCAAATGGTGGTGGTGGTGAACGCTGTTTTTTTCTCAAAAAAATAGTTTCGCTTTCTCTTTTGCCAAAAAAAAAGGCTTTCACTTCAATCCTTCACGAGGCCTTGACAATCTTGGACAATCAGGTTTTGTTTTTTTTAAACCCGAGTATGTACTTTTTTTGACGCTGAAATTCACAATTTTATGCGTCCAGTGATTTCTGTAACGAAAAAGGTTATTGAACCTGCCTCCAATGGCAAACTCGGAGGTCGTCACCTTATTGTGTCTGGGTCTAGGAAACGAGGATTATTTATTGCAAAGGATTTATTGATGGGGATTATCGGTAAATGCACTTGATCAGGTTGGGGATTGGTTGGCTACAGAGTTGGGACTTTTTTTTTGCCAGTTCAGTCCTTTCCCCACTTGTTTAATGTGGGTAAACAGTTATGGGTCGTCTGTTGAAACGTGGTGTGGCTTAGTTGAAGGGCCAATATTCATTCAATATTTGCTTTGACTTATCGGGAATGCAAAATGATTGGAATTGATTGGTTTTATGGAAAACCAGGGCCAGTTTATGGGTTCCTGGTGCAATTTTTTGTGGTCGATGCAGTTTCGCCAGACATTACGGCAACAGTTCTGGTCCTTGTTGCTCTTTTTTTGTGTGGGTCCCCTTAACTAATCGGAATATCTCTGTACTGTGCCCAGTTTTTTTTGGCAGGCATTTTGTTTGCTGCATCTCGCACTTCTGAGCAACAATTCATTGCAGCACTTGCATGCCCGGAGGTGAAGCCGGCAAAGTTCTAACAGAACAGCACTCCCGGCTTTCTCCTGGCTTTGAAATAATCCTGAATTCCAGGTCGGGGATTTGAGGCTCCAATGCAGCGCTGGTGGGGGGTGGAGTGTGTGTGTTGCATTGTCGGAGACGAGACGTTAAAGTCTGTGCCCTGTTCAGGTGGACGTTAAAGAATTCCCGCGGCGCTGTTCGAAAAGAGAAAGGGAGATTCTCTCTCCCGGCGTCCTGGCCGACAATCTCCCCCCCCCACCGCACCCCCCAAATAAAATCGGTCACTCACTCAACGGCTGTTTGTGGGACACTGCTGGGTGCAATTGTGCTGCCGTGTTTCGCCTACAAAATGCAGTCGATGCGCTTCACAACAATTCCTGTGAAGGGCTTTGAGACGTCCTTCTGACGTGATAAGGCTGTGTCAAATGTAAGGATTATTCTTTTTATATATATTTTTTTATATATGCGGTTCTGATGCGGTTTGTGATTTGCATGTTCCTACTGCACATGTGACTTTGATTTGGACCGTCTGGTAAGTTTATAACTGCGAGATCCCAATCTGTGTCGTCATTCTGGCTTCCTCTTGGCTCTCCTCGGGCTGTGTGTGTGTGTGTGTGTGTGGGAGGGGAGCATGTAGGCTGAGAGGGAGGAGTGGTGATCTGCTAAAGCCCGCCTCCTGGTGACCACTCAAGGAAAACTAATTGGACAAGGGAGTCCCTGTAGCTCGGTGGTTAGAGCACTCGCCTCGCAAGCAAGAGGAGCCGGGTTCGATTCCCAGGTGGGTCAGAGGAAAAAAAACCTTAGTTTTGTGCGAGTTTGTGTGTGCAAAAGTTTCCTCTCTGCACACACGCGCTTCTGCTTACCTGGTTGCTAGTCGATTGGCAGATCGCTTTTCCAGGGGTAATAATTCCTTCAAAAAAAAATAATAAATTGGTCACTCAATCCACGATTGTTTGTGGGGACTCTGCTGCCGTGTTTCACCCACAAAATACAAGGTCAATCCACTTTTACGGCATATTCTGTGAAGCACTTTGGGACGTCTCGACAACTTGATAAGGCTCTACATCAAGTGGCCAGGATTACTATTCTTATGATCATAGTAAGAAGGTGGGAATGATGGGTTGGGGCTGATCTGTTGGTATTAAGGCTGACGCATCTGACACGACAGTTGTCGCAAGGGAATGGAATCCGAGCAGATTGATTTGGGACAAAGTTTCCAAATTTCACTCCTTAGAAACAGTGTGAAGCCCCAGGTTTCTCTGCTCCTGAACCCCCCCCCCCATTTCTTTTAAAGCTATACCATTTAGTGTATACAAAACACTTCCAGAAACATACAGGTCCTGAAAGCCACGTGCAAGTTGGTCTTTTAAGTGTTGCTTTAGATTAGTGAATGTCTTCATTACATCCAGTTATTCAGGCAGATCTTACAACCTCGGCCAAGAAGTTGAGGGTACTGAGTCTTCAGATAATTTTTCAGATTTTGACACTTGCCTTCACTCCCCCCCCCCACACAGATGTCTGGCAACAACGTTGGGTGGAATCCAAACACAAGTCTGATTATGGACAGTTCAAGCTGACTGCTGGCAAGTTTTACGGTGATGCGGAGAAAGATAAAGGTAACAGAATTTCGGTCATCACGGTCAGAATGGATTGTATCCAATATGGTTTGAGATTAAGTTCCTTGGGCTTCCGTAGCTGATGTCTTCTGTTGAATAACAGCAGCAAATTACAAATTGTTTGTTGGTGAGACCAGTTGAGGTGCTCTACTGCTGGCCAGCTGAGATCAACAACAACACATCACGTTTACAGAGTGCCTTTCACATCGAGAGGACGTCCCAAGGGGGTGGATGATAATCAGAGATTTGGACCCGAGATGCGGATGGGGAATCTGGAGGGAGGGTTAGGGATAGGAGGGTTGGTTGAAGAGGAGGGTCTCGAGACGAGCCTTGAAGGAGTCAAGGGAGGGAGGCGAAGAGAATGTGTGACGCAGTTCCAAAGGGTGAGGGAAGAGAAGCCAACTTCGTCATTAAGAGGAATGGTTAACCTCTGGTCTCTCTCTCCCCCTCTTCAAATCCAAAATCCAGGTCTGCAGACAAGCCAGGATGCCAGGTTTTACGCGATGTCCACAAAGTTCGAACCCTTCAGCAACGAGGGGAAGACCCTAGTCATCCAGTTCACAGTCAAGCACGAGCAGAACATCGACTGTGGTGGGGGCTACGTCAAGATTTTCCCCTCGGACCTGGATCAGACCGCGATGCACGGCGACTCGAGCTACAACATTATGTTCGGTGAGAGGCTGATTGCTAACCTTTTTAACAATCTCGCTTAGCCAGGCCTCTGTTGCTAATGCCCTAGAACTGGGGTTGGGGGTTGGGGTCCAACCTTTTGGCTACCAAAGGCCCCTATTTGAGAACCATTCGTGAGTTGTATAAGCAGTAGAATCGTAGAATACTACAACAAGAACAACAACTTGCACTTATGCAGCACCCTCCACGCAGGGTAGTGTCTCAGAGTGCTTAACAGTGGCGCAGCCTGACTCGAAGAGGAGGGTCTTGAGACGGGCCTTAAAGGAGGCGAGGGTGGGGGCAGAGAGGCTGAAGGCCCGACCGCTGATACTCGGGCGGGCTGGGTGGGGGAGGTGAAGTGGAGTGGACAGGTTGATGGGGAATGTTCAGGAAACGGCTTCCTCCAACGATGGTAAGAAGATGAACTGGATGGACATCTGGTCTTTTTTTTGAGCAAACAATTGCTACGTTTCCTACGCATAACAAGGTCAAAACACCGGGAAAACATCGATGTAACGAGAGCCACTTCTGTGTTGATTCCCAGGTCCTGACATCTGTGGCCCAGGGACCAAGAAAGTCCATGTTATTTTCAATTACAAAGGGAAGAATCACTTGATTTCGAAAGATATCCGATGCAAAGTAAGTATCCCAATTACTGCACTGCTCTGGAATTAATCAATCAATCTAGTAAGCGGGGATTTTCTGGACTGTATTTTGTGGGTGAAAGGCCGCAGACAATTGCGCACAGCAGTCAGTGTCCCACCACTTTCTGACTCGAGGCGAGAGAGCTAGAGTGCTACCCACTCAGCCAGGCTGACACACAAGCGCGCTAACCACTACTCTAGATTACTGGGTACCCCATCCTCTTACACCCTCTCCGCACCCTTGGTTTGAAACAGGATGACGAGTACAGCCATCTGTACACGCTCGTACTCAGGCCAGACAATACTTATGAAGTGAAGATCGACAACCAGAAGGTGGAGTCGGGCAGCTTGGAAGAAGATTGGGATTTTCTTCCGCCGAAGAAAATTAAGGACCCTGAGGCCAAGAAGTCGGAGGATTGGGATGAACGGGCGAAGATTGATGATCCCGAGGATAAAAAGCCTGAGGTGAGTCAGGAGATGTACCTAAAGACCTTCCTTTTTTTGATCGTACTTACGATCACCTCTGCGCCCCGTGCCCCCCCTCCCCTCCCAGCTCGGGATCAGACTCCGCCATTGTCAAGCGCTCCGAGATGCTATATAAATGCAAGTTGGTGTTGCTGGATTGGTCTCTTCACCTGGTCTGATGATGATAATGATCCTTGCATTTGATACAGTGCCTTGCTGAGATGTCTCAAAGCGCTTCCAAGAACGCTTCCAAAGTGTAGTGCCTGTATTTTCTGGGCGAAATGTGGCAGCCAATTGCTCAAAGCAGTGTCCCGCAAACAGTCGCGGATTGATGACTTGGTGATGCCTTTCTGCTGTATGATAATAATAATTGTGTATATACATTCACATGCAGATCAGGTGCAGGTCCATATATCCATCATTTAAATAATAATAATCCTCGCTTTTGATTATAGCACCTTATCACGTCTTCGAGACGTCTCAAAGTGTCCCTCAGGAACATTCCCTCTCTATCCCTATCCCTCCACCTTGCCCATCTTCACGTCGCGGCCTGGAAACCTTCCTCTTCGACCGTGCCTGCGGTAACCTCCCTCCCCGCCTCTTTCTCCCCCCCACCCCACCCTCCCCCTGGCTCAGTGTTGTGCTCCACCACTGTCAAGCAAGTGCTCTGGGACGCTACCCTGAGTGAGCGGGCGCCGTGTTAATGCGAGCTGTCGCTGAAAACGCCTTCTTGTTCCAGGACTGGGAGAAACCCGAACACATTCCAGACCCTGAGGCCAAAAAACCTGACGACTGGGACGATGAGATGGACGGGGAGTGGGAACCTCCTATGATTCAGAATCCTGACTACAAGGTAGAGGAGGAGAGGGCGTTATGTTAGATGGAGGCGGTGGTTGGCATCAAGCTTGTTCTCGTAGCACGACTGCAACATCCTCTCGCTCGTTTCAAGTCTCTTTCCGCCCTCGCACCTCCCCGCCTCTCCAACCTGCTCACCGCCTGCCCCCACTCCACCACCCGCTGCCTCCGCTCGGCCGGCTCCGGCCTCCTGTTTGTCCCTCGTCCCCTCCACTCTACCATTGGTAGCTCTGCCTTCAGCCACTGCACTAGGCCCCGAAGCTCTGGTACTCCCTCCCTCTCTCCCAAACCTGCCTGAAGACCTCCCCTTTGATTGTGCTTACGGTCACCTTCCCCCTTGCTCCCTCTCCCCCTGACTCGGGATCAGACTCTGCCACTGTCGAGTGCTCCGGGATGCTAATCTGCGTGAAGGGCATTGTGTCAATGCAAGTTGTTGGTTAATCCTTGGGGGGTTCTCTCTCTCTCTCTCACGCGTGTGTGTGTGTGTTTAACAGGGTGAATGGAAACCCAAGCAGATTGATAACCCTGATTACAAGGGGAAATGGATCCACCCTGAAATTGAAAACCCAGAATACATCCCAGATGACGCCCTTTATCGCTATGACGACATCAGCATAGTCGGTCTGGATTTATGGCAGGTTTGTGCAAGCGGGAAATCTGACCCTTTCGTGTAAACTTTGTAGTATATTCCTGTGAAGCGCTTTGCAATGTCTCGACAATGAGGCGCTATATCAAATACAAGGTTTAGTACTAATTTAGATTCTGTCTTCCATAAGATGTATGGTCTATACCTTAGATAATTTATACGGTTGGATGATGATGACAATAATCCTTGCATTTGGTATAGCACCTATAATGCAGAACATTAGAACCAGAGGACACGACCTTTGATTGAAGGGGTGGTTAAATTCAGAATAAATCTGCGGAAACTGCTTGAGTGAGCGAGTATTCGATGTGTGGAACGGACAGGCTCCCTAGGGAGCGGAAAATGTCATTTGTTTCAAGAACAACTTAGATAGATTTGTGCTAGAAAATAATATCTGGGGAGCCGTTGTATGGTTTGGGACACGACATGTCAAGCGACTGCCAGAATGGCAAACTAGAAGGACCTTGAGACGTGGAGACAGCCGGAGTGGTAAATGATCGATTTGTTAAGAAAAAAAAAATTTTACATTTCAGGTGAAATCTGGGACGATATTTGACAACTTCCTCATCACAGACGACGAAAAATTTGCTGAAGAAGTTGGGAACGAAACGTGGGGCGTCACTAAGGTAAGAATGTCATTGCAATGTCAAGTCTCCACTGCAGCTCAGTGGTCAGAGCCTTCCCCTCGCAAGCGAGAGACATGGGTTCAATTCCCGGCAAGGAAGAACCTTAGGCAAGTTTCCTTACTCCACACGCCTAGCAGTAAGTAAGAACCCTGTTGTTTGTCGATTGGCGGATCGCTTTTCCAGGTGTAATAATCCCTTCAAAAAAAATAAATAATAATAATAAATTGGTCACTTCAATCCATGATTGTTTGTGGGATGTTGTTGTGAGCAATTGGCTGCCGCGTTTCGCCCACAAAACACACAGGTCAAATTCAATTTACAGTATATCCTGTGAAGCGCTTTTGGGACGTATATCCTGTGACGCGCTTTTGAGACCTCTCGACGACGTGATAAGTCGCTGTATCAAACGCGAGGATTATTATTTACGCTGGTTTTGAGGGGCGCCATGCAGGGGCTTGAATCTCGTCGCCGTTTCCGGTTTCAGGATGCGGAGAAGAAGATGAAGGAGCAGCAGGATGAGGAAGATCGGAAGAAACGCGAGGAGGAGGACAAGAACAAGGAGGAAGAGGGGGCCGACGCTGACGAGGAGGAGGATGACGATGAAGACGAGGAGGATGAAGAGAAGGAGGCGGGCGGTGGTGAAGAGGAAGATGACGACGACGATGATGAGGAAGATGCAGGCAACCCTGTGAAAGATGAGTTATAGAGATTGTATTGAGATGAATGTGGGCAGAAGGTAGTACAGCTGGAAAGTACCATAACACATGGAGCAATTGAGAAACCCTTATTGGAATGTTCGCCACTTTGTTCACGAACAAAGTACATCTTAAAAACAAAACGGGAGGTTTGGGAGGGCTTTGTGGGAGGGGGGTGGGGGGGTGAGGGAAGGGGTGGGGGGTGGTGGTGTGGGGGGGGGAGAAAAGAGTGGGGGCGTATACTTTAATTACAGTAAAACACATCCGCGATTGGGATCACCGAGCATTTGTATTGGATCTCTTGTGGGGTCGCCACGGCCTTTGCTGCTCAATCCGGACATGGGTTCTGATCTGTTAGCCACCTTCAATTGCTTCTCCTCCGCAGCCCCCTCGCAGCGCGGCAAACCCAATGGGAGTTCGATCGGAACCATTTTGGGATTTCGGTCGATCCGACGAATTGGTTCCCGTGCCATTGGGTGGGTGATTTTGTTCCGAATGTATCTAATTCTCTAGATAATGTGTGTGTGTGTGTGCGCGTGTGAGTGTGTGAGAGAGAGCTGTCACAGTTGATTCCAGTTAATGGGTCGGATTCCTGTTTTTGGGGGTTATTCTCAAATTCCAAATAGAAGTCAAATCTGGGGTGGGGTCGGGTGGGTGTGTGGGGGGGGAAATGTCCAACTTGGGACAATTTCACTTCCAATGGGTCTTCCCAGTTAACTGGCTCATACTGTCCTGTGGTGGTGGTTGGGGGGTGGTGGGGTGGGGGGGGGGGTCGGTGGTTGGGGAGGTGAGGTAGGAGAAAGGGTAAATGAAATTAACATTTCTAGGACTGCCTTTTCCATTCAAAATAAAACAAGCAGTTTGGATCTAAATGGTTCTACGTATGTTGTTGTCCCCTCCCGATTCCACAGTCAACATTGCCTTCGTATTTCGAAGTCCTTTGTCTAAGGGTTTTGAAAAGGGAAATCTTTTATTTCGAGCTGTAATCAAACCCAGTCTGTACAGATCCGAAACCAATTCAAGTGTCAGTGTAGCCCTTTTTAATCCCGTTATTTAAATGATGTCAATTGGTGGTTTGATTGATCGATGGAATTGATTGTGTTTTCATGTTTTGATTTTCTTTCTTTTTTTTTTTGGAAAAAAAATCTTCAGTTCTCTGTGTGCAATACAGGAAAAAAAAAAAATTTGATCACATTTCTACAATAAATGCCAATGGAAGTGAAATGGCTTCTGAGCTTGGTTTGATTTTAATCTCACGGGAAAACTGCAAAAAAAAAAATTATCGCTGCATTGCAGTCGAGGGAAGTCCCATTAAAGCACTCGCCTCGCAAGTGGGAGGACTCTGATCGATTCCTTGGCAGTTCAAAACCTTCGTCGAGTTTCCTTACTCCACACGCACGCCTGCCTCTATTTGTCTGGCTTAGTAGTAAGTAGGAACCCGGTTGTTAGTTGATTATCTGATCACTTTCTGGGGATAATAATCTCTTTTTTTAAGAAAAAAACCCAACAATAATTGGGTCACTCAATCCACGACTGTTTGTGGGACAGTGTTGTGTGCAAACGGCTGCCACAGAATACATTGTCACTTTACAGTATAATAATAATAATCCTTGCCTCCTTCAAGACCCTTCTCTTCGACCAGGCCTTTGGTCTCCCTCCCACCTGTCTGCCTCCCCTCACCCCTACCCCAGGCTCGGACCCCGACACCTGCCTGTTCAGCGCTTTGTGACGTCCTCTCGACGTGAAAGGCGCTCCGTATAAGCGTAATGTTGTTGTTACTGCCGCGTTTAACACGCCCGCAAAGATTCTCCCTCTTCCTGACCGTCGGCTCTCGTGTGTGCGCTCGCACGTGACACCGCACCTAACCCTTGCACCTTCGAGGCGTCTTCGGAACCGGCTCTCGACAGAAAACGGACCGCAAAAGTGAATTGACGTGAATTAAAAGTGACCGTCTTAAGAGGCGGGCGTCAGTGTCCTCCCGGGCAGCGCTTCGAGCCGCCTCGACCACGGCAGCCAGGCCGAGGGGCCCTCGTCGATGCGTAGCGAGGATTATTGCTGATTAAAGCGATTATTAATAATAATAATAATTAATAATAACGATTAGAATTGTTCGAGTGGTCAAAACACATCAGCTCTCAGCTGGAAAAAAAAAGCCCAAACCACGTGGGTGGTGGGGGGGGGGAGGGAGAGGGTGCGGTCACGTGCTGCGCCGCGTCAGGTGGTTGGTGAAGCCAACGTGTAGCGGGCGGGTGGGGGGGGGGGCGGCCCCGGTCACGTGATGACGGGGCGGGGCAAAGTCGGCGCATCACCAGCTGGTGGGCGGGGCGGGGCGGGCCGTCTCCATGGGCGACGGCGTTACGCGCGCGCGCGCGCAACGGCGCGGCGCGTGAGAGCTGACGTCACGTCGACGCCGGGTCGCTCGGGAAGGGCGGGAGGGCGAGGAAGATGGCGGCGGTGGCGGCGGCGGCGGCTGTCAGTTAGTGGGGAATTTCCAGCGCGACTGTTTTTTTTTGTGTGTGTGTGTGTGGGGGGGGGAGGGGGGGGGGGGAGGAGGAGGGAGTTAAGGGAGGAAGAGGAGGAGGAGGAAGAGGGAGGGGGAGAGGCCGCCGCCATCATCATCATCACCACCACCACCATCATCATCATCATCATGTTCATCACCGTCAAGACGCTGCAGCAACAAACCTTCAAGATCGACATCGACGTCGAACTGACGGTGAGAGAGAGGGAGAGGGAGAGAGAGACAGTGCCGTGAGGGGGACAGCACGTGCGAGTAATACTGACAGCACGTGCGAGTAATAATACCTGTCATTGGTGCCACGAGGGAGTATTAATGCTGACAGCACGTGCGAGTAATAATACCTGTCATTGGTGCCATGAGGGAGTATTAATACTGACACCACGTGCGAGTAATAATACCTGTCATTGGTGCCATGAGGGAGTATTAATACTGACACCACGTGCGAGTAATAATACCTGTCATTGGTGCCATGAGGGAGTAATACTGACACCACGTGGGAGTAATAATACCTGCCATTGATGCCATTAATACTGACACCACGTGGGAGTATTAATACCTGTCATTGATGCCACGAGGGAGTAATACTACCTGTCATTGATGCCATGAGGGAGTAATAATTACCTGTCATTGATGCCATGATGGAGTATTAATACCTGTCATTGGTGCCATGAGGGAGTAATAATACCTGTCGGTGTTACCAAGAGGGAATATTAATACTGACAACATGTAGGAGTAATAACACCAGTCATTGGGACCATGAGGGAATATTAATCCATCCCTGTTAATAATGGTAATTAATATTAATACTTGTCATTGATGCCACAAGGGAGTATTAATCCATCCTTATTAATACTGATAGTATTCATTGATACTAACAGCATGCAGGAGTAATAATACTTGATTATGAAGGAGTTTTAATACTGACAGCATGTGGGAGTAATAATACTTGTCATTGGAGCCATGAGGGAGTATTAATCCTACCTATTAATACTGACAGTGTTAGTATTTGTCATTCATGTACTGATATTGTGTGAGAGAATTAATACTGGCAGCTTGTGGGAGTAATAATACTTGTCACTGGAGCCATGGGGGAATATTAATCCATATCTGTTCATACTGACAGTGATAATACTCGTCATTAAGCAGGAACCTGGTTATTAGTCGATTGGAGGGTCGCTTTCTGGGGGTAATAATCCCTTTTTTTGTTAAAAAAAATCTGCTGCCGCGTGCAATGGCCGCCCACAAAATAACAGTCACTTTATTACAGGAAATTCCGTGAAGCGCTTTTGAGACGTCTCGACGACGTGATAAGGCCCCGTGTCAAACGCGAGGATTATTATTATTACTATGACTATCACTACCGCTATTACTGTTATAGACGGTGTCGCGGTTACCTTCATGTTGGGTTTGACAGGTGAAAGCACTGAAGGAATCCATTGAAGGAGAGAAGGGAAAGGATGCGTTTCCAGTGTCTGGGCAGAAGCTGATTTACGCCGGAAAGATCCTGAACGACGACTCGCAGCTCAAAGAGTATAACATCGACGAGAAGAATTTTGTCGTGGTCATGGTAACAAAGGTAAGGTCAGTTTGTCTTCCTCCCCCCACCCCAACCCCACCACCCCCACCACCCCACCGCCTCACCATCCCTGCCCTTCCCCATCCTCTGGAACTCCATCCCACAGTCCCTCCGCCTCGTCCCCCCGCCTCACCTCCTTCAAGACCCGTCTCAAGACCCTCCTCTTCGACCGTGCCTTCGATCGCCCTCCTTCCCCCGGGGTGGGGGGGGGGGTTGGTAATAATCCCTCCCCATTTTTTCTTGATATCTCTCAAGCCACGACTGTTTGTGGGGTCGCTGCTGTGCCTAATTGACTGCTGCGGTTCGCCCACAAAATACACAGTCGCTGCACTTTACAATATATTCTGTGAAGCGCTTCGAGAGGTGATAAGGCGCCGAATCAAATGCAAGGATTATTATTATTATTATTATGACTTTTTCTCCACAGCCTAAAGCTGCCCCTGTAGATACACTGGCTGTTCCTGCTTCCGAGCCCTCAGCCACCCCAACTCCTTCAGAAGAGAAGCCTTCGGAAGATGATATGAGCCAAACGCAAACCATCACCAGTTCCGTTTCAGTGTCCAGGTAGGAGGCTGAGATCTGAACAGCGAGGCGTCGATCATCGAAGACACATAGGATCAGGAGGAGGCCATTCAGCCCCACGAGCCTGTTCCGCCATTCTATAACATCACGGCTGATCTGTACCTCAAGTCCAATTACCCGTCTTGGCCCCATATCCCTTGATCCCCTGACCTAACAAACACCTCTCCTCCTCAGTCTTTAAAATATGGATGGATCCAGCCATAATAAAGCCTTTTTTTAAATTTATTTTTTAGGCCAATTTCAAGCCTCTCAATCCCCCGTTCCCCCCCCCCCCCAATCCCCACGTCGGGGACTTTAAGCTCATGGTCTAGCTGACAGTGAGGTGGAGGGGGAGGGGGTGACCGAAAGCGCTGTCAAAGAGGAGGGTCTTGAGACGGGCCTTGAAGGAGGCGAGGGAGCGGAGCGAGGCGAGGGGAATGTGGGATGGAATTCCGGAGGGTGAGTGAAGAGAGACTGAATGCACCATTCCTTTACGTTTTCTCTCTCTCTCTCTCTCTCTCTCTCTCTCTGTCCTTACAGCTCGGTGCCCTCTTCGGACAGTGATGTGCTCTCGGTACCCTCTTCAGTAAACGACACCCTGTCTGCACCCTCACCAGTGACTGACCTGCTCTCAGTCCGTTCTACTGAGAGCGACATACCTGATGATGACGCCTCTTCTGCTCTAGGTCAGTCAAAGCCGGCTCCCGGCATCAATAATAATAATAATAATAATAATCCTTGCTAGTCGATTGGCGAATCGCTTTTCCGGGGGTAATAATCACATTTTAAAAATAAATTATAATAATTATTTGGTCTCTTCAGTCCACGACTGTTTGTGGGGACGCTGCTGTGCACAACTGGCTGCCGCGTTCCACCCACAAAATATACAGTCATTACACTTTATAGTATATTCTTTATTCTTTGAAGCGCTTTGAGACGTCTCGAAGGCGTGATAAGGCGCTATATCAAACGCAAGGATTATTATATCAAATGTAAGAATTATTAATCAAATGTAAGGATTATTATTATATCAAATGTAAGGATTATTATTAGTAATAGTAGTTTAAAACGTGCGAGTGAGTCCCTAGGGGAAGGAATGTTCCCACGGCTTCACATCCCTCTGTGTTTCAGTGATGGGCCCTGCGTACCAGACTATGCTGTCCGAAATTATGTCAATGGGTTACGAGAGACAACAGGTCATGTCGGCGTTGAGAGCGAGCTTCAATAATCCACACAGGGCCGTGGAGTACTTGCTGACGGTAAGCAGTGTGCGCGGGGTCAGAGAGGGAGGGAGGAGAGTTCGATTCCTGGGCGGCTCAGGGCGAAAACTTTAAACAAAGGCAAGTTTTGTTACTCCACACACACACACACACACACACACACATACGCCTCTGTTTACCGCAGCAGTCAGTAGGAACCCGCTTGTTAGTCGATCGGCGGATCGCTTTTCCGGGGGCTAATAATCCCTTTAAAAAATAATAATTGGGTCACTCAATCCACGACTGTTTGTGGGACGCTGCTGTGCGCGATTGGCCTCCGTGTTTCGCCCACAAAATACACAGTCGATTCACACGACAGTATATTCTGTGAAGCGCCTTGAGACGTCTCAACGACGTGATCAGGCGCTGTGTCAAATGCAACGATTATTATTATTATTAATAATTTTATTATCTTGTGTGATAACCGCATTGAATCTCCCGTGTGTTTTCCCCTCCTTCCCCCCCCCCCCCCCCCCACTCTCTTTCAGGGTATTCCCGATCACCCCATGCCAGAGAGGGAATCCTCACGCGAGAGCCTGGTGTCTGGGGAAACAAACACACCTCCTGCAGGTAAGGGACCTCTTCCTGCTTCTCCTCTGTATAACAACAACAACTTGCATTTACGCAGCGATCTTCATGCGGGGTCAGCGTCCCGGAGGGCTTGACAGATTATTCCGATTAAATGTCTTCTGATCCTCTGTGCCGCCGCCAGGCTGCGCTCTCTGTGGATCAAATTTAAATATCCACCGGCTCGAAATTAAATGATCAAGTTTACTTTTGGCTGAAAAGATTTCTTTTAACGTCAAACAGTCTGTGCCTGTTCAAAGAGGACGTTAAAGAGAAGGCGGTTTAATCTCTCCTGGTGATCTCTCTCTCTCTCTCTCTCTGAATAAAATTGGTCACCCTCTTCAAAGCTATTTGCGCAGTGTTGCTGTGCGCAAAGCCGACTGCCGGGTTATCCCATCAAATGCCACACCGAGAAATTGCATTTAGTGGTGACCTGTAGCTCAGTGGTTAGTCAGAGCTCTCGCCTCGCAAGCGAGAGGGGACCCGGGTTCGATTCCCGGGTGGGTCAGGTCAGGGCAAGTTTCCTTAATCCCCACACACACACACACACACACACACACACACACACACACACGCCTCTGTTACCCTGAGCAGGAACCCGGTTGTTGGTCAATCGGCGGATCTCTTTTCCGGGGATAATCCCTTCCAAATCAATCAATCAATCAATACATAATTCGGTCACACAACCCACGGCTGTTTGCGGGGACGTCGCTGGGCGCAGTCGGCTGCCTCGTTTCTCCCACAAAACACACAGTCAGTCACTCCACTTTACAGTGTATCCCGTGAAGCGCTTTGAGACGTCCTGAAGACGTGATAAGGCGCTGTGTCAAACGCGAGGATTATTATTATTATCATTAAATTTTCGAATGAAGTTTTCCTATCCATACCCCCCCCCACCCAGGTGACAACCCTCTGGAGTTCCTCCGGGACCAGCCGCAGTTTCAGAACATGCGGCAGGTGATTCAGCAAAACCCCTCGCTGCTCCCCACCCTCCTGCAGCAACTGGGCCGAGAGAACCCTCAGCTACTGCAGGTACAACAACAACAACAGCAACAACAACGGGTTCGATTCCCGGGTTAGGTCGGGGCGAAACTTAGGCAAGTTTCCCTTACTCCACGTGCACACGCACACACAGACACACACACACACGCTTCTGTTTACCCAGCAGTCAGTTGGAATCAATTGTGTTTCCCCGCTCTCCCCCTCACCCCTCGCCCCCCCAATTTATTTTGGCTTCCTGGTTGGCAGCAAATCAGCGAGAACCAGGAGCACTTCATCCAGATGCTGAACGAGCCGGTGGAGGACGCGGGCGAGAGCGAGGGGGAGCTGGCAGCCGTGGGAGAGGACCCGTCGCAGAACAACTACATCCAAGTCACGCCCCAGGAGAAAGAGGCCATCGAGCGGGTGAGTCTAAACGAGGGGGGAGAGAGAGGTTAACGATAAATCACCTTAATCCGCGCACTCGATACAGCGCCTCGAGACGCCTCACGGGGCTGCGTGGGGGACGCACTGTAGAGTGCAGCGATCGTGAACCTTGTGGGTGAAACGCGGCCCAGCCACGTGCCGGCAAGGCCTGGTTCGTGGTATCTCTCACTGTAGCTCAGGGGTTAGAGCCCTCGCCCAGCGAGCGAGAAGACCCCGGGTTCGATTGCCGGGCGGGTCGGGTCAGGGCGAAACCTGAGGCGAGTTTCCTTATTGCCCACACACGCACACAGACACACACCCACGCGCGCGCCTCTGTTTACCCAGCAGTGAGTAGGAACCCGGGTGTTAGTCGATTGACGGCTCGCTTTCCCCGGGGGCGACAGAGAGAGAAAAACTCCCTTCTCTTTTCGAACTGCGCTGAGGGAGATCTTTAACGTCCACCCGAACAGTCTCATCTGAAGAACTCCCAAAGACTGTATTATCGTTCTTGTCCTGTTTATCGTTCCGCTTTTTTGTCCTTTTCCTTCCCTCCCTGCCTTCCCTTCCCTCCTCTCCTCTCCTCTCCCTCCCTCCGGTCTAGTTAAAAGCTTTAGGATTCCCCGAAGGATTAGTCATTCAAGCCTACTTCGCTTGTGAGAAGAACGAAAACCTGGCCGCAAACTTCCTCCTGCAGCAGAACTTTGACGACGACTGAAGCGGGAAGAGGGAAAGGGAGCGCAGGGGAGCGCGCCTTGGGATGACGGGATCTACTCCTTCCTGCTCGCAGACTGATTTCCAACCGCAGGTGTCTTGTCAGTCACCCTCCGCACATCACCGGGGGAGACGGCCAAAGGCTCCTGGAGACTTATTTGTAGATCCCGAGTCAATCTGCACCCTTGTTGCGAAGGAGGAAAAAATAAATGCGGGAGAACGGGAGAGAGGGAGGGGGAGAGGGAGGGAGGGGGGGAGGGAGGGAGGGGGCGAACGAAACAAACAACAACAACAAAAAAAAGTGTAACTAGAGCTTGTTTTGCTGAGTTTAAAGAGATGAAATTTATTGGGTTTTCCGACCGGCCGCCGGGATAATTTTACCCCCGAAAAGGGGGGGAGAAAAGAACCGAGACGAGACAATAAAGTTTCCCCCGGCACTTCATTTAAAAAAAAAACGCTTTGTTTTATCAGTCTCGGTGCAAAAAAACACCCCCCCCACCATTATAATCGTGACGTTAATTAATAAATTCGGTCGCCAGGAATATTATTATTATTGTTATGGCGTAAGGTTTGCCCTCACGCTCCCCCGAGCCCGACACTCTCTCTCTCTCTCTCTCGCGCCCTGTCCCCGCAAGCGGTTAATCATTACATTGCCTCCGGCTTCTGTGCCACGAACGAACGAGCGAAGAGACTCCCCTAAAGCAAACATCACCATAATAATAATAATAATAATCCTCGCATTTGATAGAGCGCTTTTCACGTCGGGAGGACGTCCCAAAGCGCTTCACAGAACACACTGTAAAGTGAATTGACTGTATATTTGTGGGCGAACGCGGCAGCCAATTGCGCACAGCAATGTCCCACAAACAGTCGTGGATTGCAAATGACCACTTTATTATTGTTTTTGGTTTTTAAGGGATTATTATTAGGCTCTGTGTGGAGTAAGGAAACTTGCCCGAGGTTTCGCCCTCTGCCGGGGATTGAACTCAGGTCTCTCGCTCGCAAAGCGAGTGCTCAAACCACCGAGCCACAGGACTCCACCATGTCCCGGTGAGGCTGGACAAGGATGTGGTTCGTGACAACGTACCGGAGTGGGGGGGCGGGGGGCGGGCGGGGGTGAAGGCGAGAGGTGACCGTAAGCGCGGACCCGAGAGGATTGCGGTTACGCTTTCCCCCGTGAAACCATTGTCCGGTTTGCCCCCGAAACTCTGCCCCCCACCCCCCCCCCCTTCGACGACCTCCCTCTCCGACCGGGGGGGGTGGGGGGCCTGGTCTCGGTTCAAGTGGTCGGATTCAGCTTCAACCCACTAGAAATTTAAGGGGAATTTGGTGGGGTGGGGGGGGGGGGAAACTTTGGAAAGTTACACTTAAATTTCCCCAAACCTGTTCCTTTATCTCATCTGTTAATGTTTGCGCGAAGGATAAACACATCCGTGTGGATTCCCGGACAGGGAGGTGTGTCTGGATAGAGTGGTAAAACATTTGCAAAGTATTTAAACTCCGCAATTAAGCAAAGAGAGAGAGAGAGAGAGAGATTCCTACAGCACCCAATAATAATAATAATATACTCCTTGGGTTCGATACAGCGTCTTAATAATAATAATAATCGTTGCATTTGATAGAGCGCTTTTCACGTCGGGAGGACGTCCCAAAGCGCTTCACAGAACACACTGTAAAGTGAATTGACTGTATATTTGTGGGCGAACGCGGCAGCCAATTGCGCACAGCGATGTCCCACAAACAGTCATAGATTGAAAATGACCAATTTATAATTGTTTTGGGTTTTGGAGGATTATTATTAGGCTCTGTGTGGAGTAAGGAAACTTACCCAAGGTCTCGCCCTGACTGGAATTGAATTCAGGTCTCTCACTTGCAAAGCGAGTGCTCTAACCACTGAGCTACAGGACTCCACGTCGCTGAGGCGTCTCTGGGCGCTTCGCCGGGATATACCGCGAAGTGGAGGCCGATTGCGTTGCCCCACCGACGGTCGTGGGTTGACCGACCAAATGATTTTGTTTGTTTCGAA